GTTTTGTGTCCCTATGCCCGAATATAACGTACGACTGAAAGCTCACAATTAAAAAAAATGTTTTGCGCAGTTTAGGAATTTTGATATACGTCGTTTTATTACCAATTTATAAAAAATAAACGTGTATATTTTATAGAGTTTATTTGTACGTTTTGGAATGATATCATGTGAGATCAACTATAGAAATTTCCGACCTACAATGGATGTCGCATGATGCAACCAATTTTGTCCATATACGACCGCCAGCAGACCTAATAGGTAATTTAACAAATGAAGGACGGCCGGCGAGTTGATAAAGAAATTGACTTTTCTATAATTTAATGATCACTTTTATCGGATATACGCATCCGGTATGCTGGTGTCGGAGCTAGAATTTTTTATATTCCAGCGGCGACACCATAAATTCCTTTGGGAGGTTCGTTAGTTACGTTTCCTTCTTGAAGTGTCGGCATAGGCGTTTGCCGTTCACCTTCCCTCTATTGGGAATGTTTTGGTACACACTTATGACGAATGAATAAATGAAAAAGCAAAGTGTGTTAAAAGTGTGTAAAAATTTATTTCCTATCTTAGCTTTTGTGAATAACTAATATAAGTAACTAATTTAAGTGTTACAATCTTTAACTTACGTCAACAATTTAAAAATTATCACTTCTAAAGAGGTATCCCATTGGTGAAGAAATACAAAATTTCTTCACGACTTACAAAAACTTCGAAAGTTTTCAAAAAAATAAAAACATCTAAAAGACAGCACTTTAAGGGGTGACGGGGTTTATTTTCAATATTTTAAACAAATTTTTAAGATTTTTTTTGAAAAATTGTTTAATATAAATTTATTTAGAACATAAGTATATTATAGTACAACATTTCAAGAGTAATATCTAAAATTTTGGTAAAAAATTATTAAAAATTAGGAAAATGGCAGCTAATTTTCCAAAACAAAAAAAAAGTTACTTTGCGGTGTTCATCGTAACTTATAACTATCATCTGTTGACAAAAAACCAAAGATTTCGTTATTTTATGAATTTAAGAATTTTAGAACTGTTTTTTATTAAAATTTGACTAATTTGATGTAAAATTAATTATAACAACAAAATGGACAATATCTCGACTTAGCGATCTAGTAATTTATCTGAAGTTCTGAAGAAGTGTATCTTGTCAAATTTAGTTAAATTTATCTGAATTTACCTATAAATAATTTAATTTACCTATAAATTTTATGAATTTAAGAAAACGCTAAAACACGAAAAATGCTTAAAAATACCAAAAACACCGAAAAACACGAACAATGCTTAAAAACGTCAAAATCACCGAAAAACGCTAAAAGCATGAAAAATGCTTAAAAACACCAAATACAGCGAAAAACACTAAAAACACTAAAAATGCTGAAAAACGCTAAAAACACGAAACATGCCTAAAACCCCAAAAACAGCGAAAAACGCTAAAAACACGAAAAATGCTGAAAAACGAAAAAAAAAACACCGAAAAACGCTAAAAACACGAAAAATGCTAAAAACACGAAAAATGCTTAAAACCCCAAAAACAGCGAAAAACGCTAAAAACACGAAAAATGCTGAAAAACGCAAAAAACACCGAAAAACGTTAATAACAAGAAAAATGCTGAAAATGCAAAAAACAGCGAAAAACCGTAGAAACACTAAAAATGCTGTAAAACGCAATTTAACAATAACCGATCAAGTAGTTTTTAAGATACAGTGAAAACAGACTTAAATTTCCGAGAAAAACGCGTTTTAAAAAAAGCTTCTCAGGTAAAACATCTAGAGTATGTTTTTTTGCTGCTTCTGCAGGCATTTTATTCGTTCTAGTAATTCGATTGTTATCTGCCGTGAGTGTATAATTATGAGAATTTGACACTTTACTTATTCCAATTTCTTTGTGACTTCACTCACTCACCTCATCACTCATCTCACTTACTTACTAAGCTCACTTGTAACAAAATATTTTGCCTACCACATATGCTATTACTATGGGGGTTAAAATCTTGGGGCAGAAATTATTGGGGGTGGTATTATCCAACCATATAGTCAATCGTCAGGTAAAATAATGCATTATTTTAAATGCGAGCGTTCACCGTCACTGCTATGCTCTAGGCGAGGATGCGATGTGATGGTCTCCGCTATGAACGTACCCTTACAGATAAATGGTTGTAACAATTATATGATGAGACTAGCAAGTATGCGAGTACGTTTTCTTGTTTAGTGCAGAGGTGGCACATTCTAGAATTTTCGCTTGAAAAAATGTTGACTCTCGAAGGACTGCCAGGAAAAAATAAAGATACTCTTTTTGCTAACGCAATTTTTTCCACTTTTATGGGCCGGAATAGAATTATGGCCATAATGCGATGTTTGCAAAAGACAAAATATATAAAATTAGATCAATGAGAAACTTTTTCAGTAAGGGAATGGAAGAAGTTTATTATCCTGATCATAATTTGAGCTTAGATGAGTCAATGGTATTACACAGAGGACGACTTAATTTTAGATAATACTTTGAAAACAAAAAGCATAAATATGATATCAAGTTGTATGTGTGAACTAAACCAAATGGTCTAATTTTAAAATTTTTAGTTTACCCTGGAATGTTTGACGTTTCAGGTATAAAAGGGTATGGTAATAAAGTGGTTATGCACCGTTTAGAAGGTAAACTAAATGTAATTCATTGCGTTTATGTGGACAATTTTTACAACAGCTTTGATTTAACCCAAAATGTGCTTCAATTTTCAACTTCTCTTCGGGAACTCTTCGAATTAACCATAAAAATAATCCTGCTGAAGTTAAGCAAGAAAAACTTGCTAAAGGTGCAACAATTACTCGTTGCAGAAAAGGGGTATTAGTTGGCAAATGGAAGGATAAGAGAGACGTTCACCATATGACAACCAGAATGTCAAAATTGATTTCAACAAGTTACAAGAAGAGATTAGCATGTAATAAAACCAGAGCCTATTACCAGATATACCAAACTATGTCTGGTATTGGAAGACAAGACCAAATGCTTGCCTATTATCTGTGTCAACGAAAAACTGTACGATGTCCAACAAAAATATTTATGCATATTATGTAGATGATGATTATAAATGATGCATACATACTATAGAAGTATTCTGAAAAAAAGATTTGCCTTTACGAATTTCGTTTAGAACTCGTTAGATCACTTTTCAAAATTAGTAATTCTGAAGCAAATCATGTTACAAAAGATCGCCTAGTAACAAAACGAGAGGTAAAAAAACTAAAGGAAAAAGTTATGAGAAAACGCTGTAAAACTTGAAGCGAACGAAATAATTGTAAAGATACAATTTGACGAATGCAAAACCTGTCCCGATATCCCTTGATTTTGTCTGGATTGATGTCAAGTATCCCACATTTAAACCTTAGTTTTGTTTTATACACATATATTTTATGATATTTTGAATTTCTTGTTTTGGTTTGTATTTTGAGAACGATTTCCGAAGTGGAAATTGAAACGTCAATAACCGTATTTTTATCTTTAATTGTGGCTTATTCCCAGTTAAATAGTAATTAATTTAAAATGCCACAAGAAAATAGCTTCAGAACAATATTAAGTATTAAGTACTAATACACTACAGTAATACCAGTATTAATACTACACCCGAGCGCCACTGACGCTCTGCCGCGTTCACCAACAACCCTTCTTGTATATGTGCGTTTAGTTTAAAAGTACTTACTTTATTCTAACTTTTCCAAAAACAAATAAATGAACGTCTATGTATCAAAAACAGTATGCGGCTCTTGGTGAAAACCTACCCAGAATAGATTGGCAGTTATCGTGTTAAGTGAGTAAAAATTTTTGTTTATGGTACAAGTCCTTTTGGATGTAGTAGTTAAGGCGACAGATAGACTGAGCTCCAATGGATCCTCTGAGATGCTGAGGATCCAATGCTGGCTTTTTAATGCTTTTTCCAAAAATGACAACTACTATTATTTGATAATTTATTTATCACCCGAGATTTATTATTTCATCTACAAAAATGTGAATACTGAGCAACGGGAACCTTTGGGGAAAATAGATTAGCTAAGTGTCCTATACAAGATACAAAAACTCTTGGTAAAGAAGCTCGTGGATCATATGATTTGATGTAAATGAAAAATTACCTTTTGTAGGATGGAACGATAATAAGTGTTACTATAGCATCTAATTTTGATAATATAAAAGCTCTCGCACAATCTAGTAGATGGAATCAAAAGTTTAAAAGAGAAGGTTTATACTATAATTCTAACCAATGACAAGCTGCGACGATACGACATACCCATCGATGGATGTGAACTCGAGCTTGTCTTGATTTTGAATGTGGTATAATTAAACGAAGTATCTCTTATAAAAATACGAAGACGAAGATGGGCAGGACATGTAGGGGTAGGCCAAAACTCAGATGGAGAAATGGTGTAGATGAGGATGGTAGAAAAATAGGCGCAGCAAACTGGCAACAGTTGGCAATGGATAGAACTGACTGGCCTAATAGACTTGGGAAGGTCGTGGCTCTTTTATAGGGCTGTAGCACCGATGATGTTGATGATAATTAAACGAACTATGCTCTAATAGTTCATTTTAAATACCATTTTAAAGTTTTGTACTTTGAAATGTGTAAGATATAATACGTCTCAATTTTCATTAAAAGAGATCGAATTTTATTGTCTTTGGAAAAGCAAAATCACTTTTTTATCCAGATTATGCAGTCGTTGACAAATGAACTTTAGCGATGAAGAAATTAGTAGATTTATTGTATACATTTTTGGTACATGCTTCGTATTTGCCGATGAAATACGAATGACGAAAGAAAGAAGGAAAAATCGAAGATGTTTATACGGGCTCTATGGCATAAAACAAAGAAGATTCATTTATTATAGAAAATCACATTCATCTCTAATACCTCAATTTTTTATACCAAGTCCTTTATTTTCAATTTTTTTCGCATATTTATTCGTTCTGCTATAAGTATTGGCTATACATAATTATTTTTATTGCAGATGACCCGACGAAACCTTACACAAAACATACAACAAAATGGAAGCGAGAAAGGCGACCGAGACCTCCGGATTACCCGAGGAAATCCTCTGACCCGAAATATTCTGAATTCGTCGCCGATTCTCCATCGCCGGCGGTGGTGCCCGAGAGCAACGGCGTCTCCATGCCGGATACGCCGCTGGATATGAGCGTCAGGCAGAGAGGGTTGCCGCCCTCTTATGCTCAGACGATCAGCAATCCCGGGTACAGATCTAGTTATAGGCCTTCTGTTATTCACAACGGAGTGCCGCCAGCGAGAGAAGAGTTGCCGTCAGGTTTGTAATTTTTCTAAAAAAGTTTTTTTAAAAACCTGTTAAAATAGGTTCAATAAAAATATCCAAGATTCTAGAATTACCTCTCAAAAGTTTACCCAGCACAGAGGCGTAGCGTGAGAAAATAGGTAACAGATGTAATGAAATCTGATAAAAAGTAATAACCACGATCTGAGGGTCATAATACTTACGCTATACTACATATCCGTTAATTTGAGCGTAGCACCAAATATATGAGGAGCTTTTTTACAAAACTGCATAAATCCACTTTTCAAAAATTTTTAGACGTAAAAACGTGCTAAAAATTTTAGATAACGTAATCAATTGAGGTTAGATTTAGAGAAATAAAACGTTAATTAACATTATTTTTATTGATTTGCATTAACAAAATATAGCCATGTGTCTGCTGGAGATATCGCGTTTTGTCAAACTAACAATATCGTAGAAATAAAAAATATTAAACGGTACCCCCTAAAAAAAATGAGGAGCAAAAAAAATTAGATGTGAACATTTTTTGGCTCATCCTCCAAGCAATCACACTCGCCATCATGGTAGTTGTGGGTTTCTGAATCTGGATCACTAAGGACCGGTTTCACCAACGACAAATAGCAGTCTATTCAATGAATAAAGTTATTCGACCAATAAAACTGACATATCTGCGTTTCACCAACGTCAAATAAGACTTATTCTATGAATAAACTCCAAATAAGTAATTAGTTCAGTATCGGCCAAATAAATATTTATTCTTCGAATAAGTTGACAGCTAACCTTACTTTAAATATCAATAATAAAGAAAATTCATTAGTTTAATCAACAATATATTGCAGGTAAACGTAATTATATCAGACAATTTGAATTTTGTATACATATATATTTATTTTAGATTATTATCTTCATCATCATCATCCTCTGATGACGAAAATGAGCAGCGAAGGAGAAGACCACGCTTGCAGCTGCAAAGAAGACACCTTTTTGCTGAATTTGATAATGTGGACTTTAGTAGATCAATTATTAAATTTGATAACTAATTTGATCCTGTAAGCAACAAAAATAGACTCATAGTTGTGCGAAATCAATTGTAATATAAAAATAAAAACGTTTATTGCCATTTCAAAATTTCAACAAATTAATCAACAAATATCAAATATTATAGGTTATGTATATGATTTCAGTCAAAAATAGTGTGATGCGCTTGGCCAAGCACCTAAGAGGTGGAGGCCAAGAGAGGTGTCAACAAAGTACAGTCTGTGGAAAATCATTACACTTTGAACTTATTCGACGAATAACTAACTGTGGATTACAAATAGTTATTGAAACGGAATAAAATTTATTCTACTAATAAATTTTATTCGACGATTAACTATTCAGTGATTTATTTGTTGTTGGTGAAACCGGCCCTTAGTAACTTTGTTTTGAAGAGAATTAATATACCAATGAAAATCAGGGATGTCCAATTTTATCCAAAGTGGGTTTGTAATAAATGAAGGACATCTTTTTTTTCTCTTCAGTCACAGAATGAGATAGTGGGATTTGAGGAAGAGTCTGAAGAAAGCCATTTTAATTTTTTTTTACAGTGCTTCTAAAAGTTACTGTTTCACTATCAAACCTATAGTTTATTATTGCGCAGCAGCATTTCCTTTTTGGCCCTGTAAAAAGCTTCTCGTCGATAACCACCTCTATTTTCTTTGGGCAGTAGATCTTAATTGACGACCTTTCCAGTCCATAGTAGTCGAGAGGCAGGTACACCCATTGAGAAAGCAAAAAACTTTTTACAGACAGTAATCATGCGTTTGTGTTTCTGACTGTTGAGAAAAAATTTCACAGAAACCGTTCTTGTGCGAGTTACAGAGACAGGCGCACCACTTCCCTTTCTTCTTTGGGGGTCGAAAGCAGAGATATATTTCATCAGAACAAGATCTTGTTTCTCTTTACCCTCTGCCATGTAGATTGCTTATTGATTAATTTTTATATCATCGTAGGATACCGTAGCACAACGAAGATTTTTCGAATTATGGGCACATGGTCTGGTTCTCCGTTTTAGAAACACTAAATAAGGATCACTATCGTTGTACTGCATAATTTTTGTTTCTCTTTACCCTCTGCCATGTAGATTGCTTATTGATTAATTTTTATATCATCGTAGGATACCGTAGCACAACGAAGATTTTTCGAATTATGGGCACATGGTCTGGTTCTCCGTTTTAGAAACACTAAATAAGGATCACTATCGTTGTACTGCATAATTTTTGTACGCCCTCTCTTACTTGTTTTGATGGATCGTCTTTTTTAAATCTCACCGATAAATTAGCAACACTATCCATCTCAAAATAACACGCAAAACACAGTTTTCATCGAACGGAAAAGTACTGATAATCTCATACAGCGTGGCATGGCGTGGCTACGCTACACACTGTCAGTGCGACCCGTGAGTAGTTTTAGAACTAACGAATATTATATTTGGTTTCACGAATCAACATATAATTCTAGAGGATGCTTTTAAAACCAAACAAAAGTAGTAGAGGGATAGTTCTGCAGGCCGGAGGATTTATGCATCTATGTAAAACAAAAACTAATTTCAATGGTTAGCTAAAGAAGATGTTCAAGTTTTGTATAAAAAAAAAGTAAACATGGGGTAAAAATTTTAGAGTGAATTTTTAAGTTTTGTGAAAGAAACCTGATTGTTAGGCTCATTTTAAATGGGAAATATTAACTTTTAACACATGAGAATTACACACAAGATCTAAGGCAGACAAAACTCTCGAAATTCAACACAAAATGTATTTTAGCTGTAAATGGATTTATGCAGTTTTGTAAAAAAGCTCTTCATATATTACAACTTTAATATAATTAAAATTAACATGGTTTTCCAATTTTAGGTATTTCTATGTGCGATCCAATAATCGACGAGCACTTCCGACGATCGTTGGGCAACGACTACCACATCGTATTCCAAAATAACAATTCTTCCAAAGACAAAGAACAGTCACCCCCCAAAAGTCCTCCTACGGTGACTACAACCACCAGCGTCATCGAACTGATGGACGGCACTGGGCTGTCAGTCGACGAACATTTTGCCAAAGCTCTCGGGGACACTTGGACGAAGCTGAACAGCAGGAAAGAGTCCGAGATTCCTAACGGCTCTAGTGAGAACGGACTGGTGTCTACTTAAATTTACTTGTAGGGTTTCTATAGATCCACTTCATGAATAATATTGTAATGGGTGATGTATTGGACCCATTTTGCAGGATTGTTAGAGAACATTGTAATGAAATTCTTTAAATAAGTTGAGAGAGGGTTTCGTCATTTAGTTTATGAAATATTCAGAGTGTTTTGGACAACGCTGTATTTATACATTGATTGTATAAAGCCACAGTTTTGTGCCCAAATTATTGGCACTGTTTGTACATAATTTGAATGTGCTGAACCTAAAACTATCTTCAGATTTGCCTTACCAAACTGTTTTTAAGAAATTATGACAATTTTCAAGATGTCTTCTGCACGGATATATAAATATATTTACGTATATATTTATAATTATAAATATAGATCTTATATTTCTGAAGAAATATCTCTGGAAGGTTATTTATAACGAGAATTTGAGTATCCTCAAAGTTCAGGAAAATTTTAAAAACTGTAAAGCGATATTATGGAATTATGGCAAAGCGTATGGCACCAAAAGAATGTATAAAAATAAATTTGAATAGAGAAAAATTTGACTTTTATAGCCCATTTAAAAAATCCGCAATCTCACCCCTTTAGCCAATTTTTTTCTTTTGAAATGAGTTTCAAGCTTACTTGCTCTTCTATCCATAAAAAAACAGCAATTTCGATAACCAAGCATTGTCCAGAAAGTGTTTTCTCGAAAATATTTTCGAAATTTCTGGATAAATGGAGGTGGATTGTAAAATTATTAATCAAGAACAAAAAAATATATTCCATTTTACTTTAAACTTATGTATACCTGATTCGAATAAAGGAAAATTTTATTTTTATTTTTAAACACATTTAAAAAAAATCCCCAAACTCACTCTTTAACCAATTTTAAATTGATGTTTTAGAGATATCTTCAAATTGTACATACCAAATTTTTCACGAACCTTAAAAAGAGTGTTCTTATTGTTTCAAAAACAAATTTCCAAGACGTTATTTATCATTTTTTTTAATCGACAGAATAATATGAACAGTTTCATGACAGAAAAATGGCTGTAACTGTTAACTCTTCTTTCTAAAATTAATCTTAAACTTTCCACAACTTTTTCAGCTAGGCAATATTTAAATTCTAGTTATAAACAATTTTCCCGAGGTTGTTCATACAAAAATTTAAGGTCCAACTCATTACAGCACTTTTAATGCTTTTTGTACAAATCAGGACTGGACTTTATGCTGTTTTCAGCATTTCTATGGAATATTCCTAATATAAATGTTTATCATAATCAATAAGGTTGGTGTTCCCATTTTCACAGCAACGCAAGAATATTACAGATATAATTATGTGGTTGTGCAGAATAGACAGAACACTAATGCAGCTTTAATTTCTACTGCTGTATCTCTAAGGCTAGATCTGATTTAAAAAAAAACTTATAACTTTAGGATCGGTACATTCAAAATTACCAAACTCAATTGCTTTTTTCCAATAAAAGAATTTATTTGGGCTGTATTATGGACACCACCCCGCTTGAAAAATTGCTATATATTTATTAATTTAGAACTATATACAGAGAAATTAATATTGGCACACTTGGTAGCTTAAAAACCAAATCTTAAACCCACAAAATTACTATTGATTTAGCTACATGATGATATACAATTTTTTAGTATTTCTTGTGTTTAGGTTCAATAAAATATATTAAATTTGGACTAGATTTTATTTTCCAATGAAATAATTTCCTGCCGTTTTGGCAGGAAACACTTGAATGTGTCAAAATTCAAAACGTAAAACATTTATTCAAATGTCAGTGTCCCGTTTTACGTTTTGAATCTTGACAAAGGCAAGGGTCTCCTGCCGAACTTTGATTAAGTCTGAACCCACATAAAATTAAAAATGCTAAAATAAAACACTCTTTGTGTCGCTTTTCTCTGCATATATTGGCAAATATATAATTTATATCATTTTATGTAATATTTACATATGCTATAAAAAATTTTATTTTGTTTGACTTTTTTTATGTGATTTTGATTTATTCGATTCAAAAGGGGTTGGTGAAATAATTAAGCAAAATTCTAAACACCATTCATAAAAGACCTTCGTAGAACAGAGGCGGAACATTTATTATATTCGCCCTGTAATAATATAAATTTAAAATTAGGAAGCACATGGTTGTCCTTTTTATAAGAAGGACTTTTTTGAATTTTTTTATAGGTGAGCACTAGTGCACAAGTTCCTTTGTCATTTTGAGTTTGTGATTTAATTTTTTTATTTTTAGTTTTCGTTTATAACTTACTTTTTTTGTTTAAAACTCAACTTTTACATTCGAAATTGTCCAGCAGAGTGTTAATTTCTGGTTTATTTGTAATAATTTGAAGTAAGAGTAATACTGTAAGAGAAAAATATGGTTTTTTGCTACAAGTGTTACATTAAGGAATCAATTTTATTTGAACCATCCAAAATGTTCTTTTCCTAAAAGTTACTTTATACATTTAATGGTGTATATATGTTAAGAGATGTGGAGAATTTTGGTTTTTGTGTATGCCTCCTATAGGAGAAAATTTGTAAAAGAAGACAGTCTGCTATAAGATCTTTCACATTATCATATAGTTTGCAATGTTATTGCAGAATGTATAATAATGTTGATGTAATTCAGTCGAAGATCTTTTTAAAAAATTCAAAGGTTTGATTTAGCCAAAGAGAAATAAATAAAAAGACTTATTTACCATCAATTTATTATGCCACGGAAGACTGGTTTCACATTTTAATTTACTATACATCCTCAGGTATCCGGTACGGCAAATTTAATGCTGAAATTACAAATTATCAGTGTGAGGGTACTGTCTGATACAAAATATATAACAATTATATCAATATTATATGTGTACAGTTTTGGTGATGTGCAATTTTAAATTATATGAGTTTTACTTACTTGACCATACAAGGAATGTTCTTAAACGTACGCGGGAGAGTAATAACGGAGCTTTAGGTATGGTCCCACGTACATTTAAAAATATTCCTTGTATGGGCATGTAAGTAACACTCATATACTTTAAAATGGTACACCAGCAAAACTGAAAACATATAACATACACACTGTAAATAGAAATTTCGACACTTACTGGAAAATGGTAGTTGAAAGAACAGTCAAAGAAAGTACTGTAATTAGTAAAATTTTTACTATCAAAACTATAACTGGCAGTGACATCATGGATGAAAACAGAACAAATTGACATATTTAATCAAATAGAAATTTAAAAAATTCTTCGTTTTGTGTTATCCTTTTGTCTATCTTTTCGCGGTTTAATGCAAACAAAAACTGTAAAAAATATAGAAAAACTGATGAGGGATTTGGATTAAACATTCATCATCATCATCATGCAACCTCTTTTGTGCGTCTTGTTGCCATTTTTTGGATATTCGTTTAATGTCGTCCATCCAGCGTTATTGGTGGTCGTCCTCTTGGGCGCCAATCAATTAGTTTTCTGGTCCATCTTGAGCCTTTTAGTCTGCCCAATTCCATTGTAGCTTGGCTATACGTTCGACGACATCAGTGATACCTTTTCTTCTCCTCGGGTCTTGGTTCCTCATTTTTTTTTTGTTACGCTGAAAATAGATCTTTCCATGCGCCTTTGTGCCACTTTCATTTTTAGTGATGTTGTTTTTGTGAACCGTACTCCGCCCAAGCAAGTATTATTCGTCGTTGAAATTTAGAGGTCTGATTATCCTTGCTTATTCTGATTTCATGAATGAGATATATGTACTTTTCTGTCAATTATATCACTTGATTTTGGATGGTTAGCTGTTCGCTGGGAACCAAATTTGTCATAAATTTGGTCTTACTGATGTTCGTTTTTATACCAATTGTTAAAGATATGTTTTCTAATTCTTGTAGCATGTACTGTATCGTCGGCAAAACGCAGATGATTGAGCATTGCCCCGTCTATTTTTATTTCTCTATTTTCTCACTTTAGCATTTTAAAGGCGTATTCGAGGACCGTTATAAACAATTTAGGTGAGAGAGTGTCTCCCTGTCTCACACCTCGCTTTATATGACTTTCTCTGGTGGTATCATGTAGCTTTACACGCATTGTGGCGTTTTGGTACAATGTTTGTACTAACTTTGTAAGCCGGTAGTCTATTTTACTATTGTTCAGAGCAGTTATAATGCTGTCTAATTCCACGGTATCGAAGGCTTTCTGAAAGTCTACGACGATAAGTACCAGTGATCTGTTATATTCTATCGATTTTTCTATTAAGGTTTTTACTGTTTTGTAGGTGATCGTTTGTTCCGTATTTTGAGCGGAAGCTAGCTTGTCATCTTCTATCGTTCGGTGGACCTTTTCATTCTTAATTTTCTTAAGTTTCCTTTGATTTCTCTTCTAGTTTCCATTAGTTGCTTTGTTTCAATGGTTATTTTTTCGTTTAGGGTATTTACATTATTTATGCATTCATTTTGTTGTAGGATTTTATTGATATTGTCTTGGTATTCATTTAAATTCGTTGGGTCGATTCATACCGGGTTGGCTTTTTTATTAATCATTTTGGATCTTTCTGTACTGTGACCATGTTGAATATATTTTTTGTCACTGATTATGTAGTCTATCTCGTTTCTGATTAAATATTATATGGGCTAAAAATATGAAGATTTTCATATCGAGTCGGACAAAAGTACAAAAAACATTAGGCAAGTAACCGGAAAGTATGAAATAGAAAATATGTGCTTCATATTCTCCCTAGTACTAAGTGGATACTAAGTATATCACGACATAAGTGGAAAACTTTCCCTATATACACATAGTTTAAAAACTTTTGTATCATTTAATGTTGTTCCTTTAATAATCATCATCATTGGCTCCCATGGTGGATCTTGGCCTGCTCGAGAATAAGTCTCTCATTCTCTCATATTCTTCGCCTGGGTTTCCAGTTTCGTACTCCCAACATACTCAAGTCTTCCTCTACCCGATCCTTAAATCCTGTTCTGGGTCTGCCTCTCCTTCTCACTCCATCTATTCTTTGGTTATAAATATGTTTTGGCGGCTTCGTTTCATTCATTCTCTCTAAGGTTCGTCATACAGGCGGTAAAGTTCGAAATTATAGCGTCTACGCCATAGTCCGCCCTCCTGTACTCCATAAACGTTCATCTTAAACGTCCTTCATCGCTCTTTGTCATCGTCCATGTTTCCGACGCGTAGTGAGGATGGGCTTGATAAGAGTTCTGTATATCACTAGTTTCGTTATTTTTGTAACTAGGCTTGTTGTTAAAAAATTTTTTAATCGTTCTTTTATTAAATTGTTTTATTTATTTAACATGTGTTACATAATGCGGCCTAATTGACAGATGACAGAGCCGCCATATTGAAGTAAACGTCTGTTACACTGCTATATATATTCATTGCCTGTTCAAAACTATAAGTATTCGCTGTGTGAATGCTATCTGTTGTATGCTATATGACAAATGTATATCTATTCAAAAGTTTTAAGAATGGCAGATATCATCACAAAATGAACCAAAATAAATATGACTTAAAACCAAAGATGTGGCGGAGAACATTAACGGAGAGACTTACTAGAAACAAAACAACTTTACAATCGAAAGATACTACAATTTCTTCTTATATTGGTCATTGGGTCTAATGTGTTGTTGAACGGTTCGAGACATATTTAAAGATACCTATGTATATTTTATGAAAGTCATGAACTATTTAAAAAAGTTAAATATTTAGCCCGAGAGTTCAAGCCACAACTTCAAGCCATTCAAGACTCTAATGGAGAAGTAAAAACCGACATAGAGAGCATCGCAGAGACCTGGAAAAATTACTGCTCAGAATTATACAAAGATACTTCAAAAGATGACGCATCAGTCACAGAACACAAAAAACATGCAATCAGAGAGGCTGAACCAATCATTTTACGAGCAGAAGTAGAGAAGGCTCTTAACCAACTAAGAAACAAAAAACTCCAGGAATCGATGGCATAACAGCGGAGACTCTAAAAGCAATAGGCGAAATTGGCGTAGATGTAATGCTGGATATGTGCAACATGATATGGATCACAGGTGAATGGCCTGATGAGTGGTGTGAATCAACCTTGATCCCTATCCATAAAAAAGGATCATTAACCATATGCAGCAATTACAGAACCGTTGCCTTATCCCTCATGCAAGCAAAATCCTGCTACATATAATCAATGAACGGCTAAAGAACTTTCTACTTCCAGAGATAGTCGAAGAACAATGTGGATTTGTACCAGGAAAGGGAACGCGTGAGCAAATACTCAACACCAGACAGATAGTAGAAAAAGCGAGAGAACATAACATACCAATGTTGCTCTGTTTTGTAGTTTACACAAAGGCTTTTGATTCAGTAAAATGGGATCCTCTTTGGAGTAAAATGGAAAATATGGGAGTACCTAACCACCTAGTTAACCTAATAAGAAATCTGTATAATAAAAACTCAGCCAAAGTTAAAGTACATGGAATATATTCAAATGCATTCAAAACAGAGAAAGGAACTAGACAAGGTTGCATACTATCACCATTATTGTACAACATATATTCTGAATATATAATGAGAAAAGTACTAGATGAATGGGATGGAGGAATCACTATAGGAGGCAGAAAAATCAGTAACCTGCGATACGCAGATGACACACTTATACTAGCAGCGAATGAAGTCGAAATGATTACCATCATCGAACGGCTAAGCCGAATAAGTGAAGAATTCGGACTTTAAATCAACACCAGAAAAACAAAAATAATGATTGTAGACAGAGCAAATAATAATCTACCGCATATACGCCAAATAGGGATTTTCGAAGTAGTCGACAGATTTGTATACTTGGGCTCTCTGATAACCAACAATGGTGATTGTTCCTCAGAAATCAAACGTAGACTAGGAATGGCCCGAACCGCAACTGCTAAATTAATTAAAATATGGAAAGACCGAACAATAACAAGGAATACTAAGCTTAGGTTGGTCAATGCCCTTATTTTTCCCATTGCTACATATGCAGCTGAAACATAGACTCTCAAAAAAATCGATAGGAGTAAGATCGAAGCCTTCGAAATGTGGGTATATAGAAGAATTCTACGCGTGTCCTGGACAGAACATAGAACCAACCTGTCAATTCTGGAAGAGCTTCATGTAAAAGACAGGCTACTAAAAAAAGTAAACCAAGCATACCTAACTTATTTCGGCCACATAGCTAGAAGAACGGGCACCATGGAACTATTGGTAGTAGAAGGTAAGGTAGAAGGCCGAAGACCAAGAGGAAGATCTCCAATACGATGGGTGGACCAAATGAAGAGTTTGGTGGGAAAATCCCTACATGAAGCCGTCCATATGGCACAAGATCGCAGTCAATGGAGACAGCAGACTAATAATATTTAGGGTGTCACTACGCCCTGACAAGGGCTAAAGGATTGAGGAGGAGATGTATATTCAGTATTTACAAATGTAAATGGACACTTTATGGTCATTGTTCATTTAACTCAATTAAATAACTCCACATCTCTGATACATATACTTTACTATTAGCTTCTACATTATAAAGACAATATTTTGTAAAATATTTTTTGTAATATCTGTATATAATTTCCAGCTGTATATATTGACCAGTAGTTATATATTTATTGTTTATGGCAGAGAGTATCATAAGTTTGTGAATGAATATTCCTTTACTAGAGTAAAAGAGTAAATTGATGTTAATACTAAACAATGAATGAAAATTTCAGTCAGCATGTTAAAATTTATTGATAGGTTTAGTTGACTACTAAATATTTGGAATATGGAACGGAAACTGTTCTGAAAATATGTTTAGAAGTGACCATAGCATACATTGGAGTACAAAATATCTCGAACGGAGGGAGCTAGACATTATAATAGGTAGATAACTCTTTTAACCACTTAAAACACTGAATATGACATAAAAAAGAAAAAAATAAAACTAAAAAATATTGAAAGCTAGCTGTAAGCAAAAATTGGTGAAAATGTCAAAATTGGACAGAGTAAGAAACCAGTCAATGAGAGAAATAATGTTATACGTAATGTAGTAATGTGACACGTTAAACATATTTATATAGTAGTATATGGTTTTTGTTTATCTAGTGCACAGAATAAAAAATTGATCCACATGATCCAAACTTATGATACACTTTGTTAATAATTCTGTTCACTTACGAGTATATGCATGTATCCATTGAATGATCCACGTTATTGAATGTATCCCAATAAATTATTTTTAATTTTGAAGTTGTATTTTATTTGTCCTCAAAAGGGCCAGTGCTGTGCTGTCTAAAATGTTAGAAATCTTGCCGCAATCGCGGTAGTTGATGTGTTTTCTAACTACTTATAACTTTCTGTAAGTTGGAGAAAACGGATATTGTGGATGAGTGTGAGTATAGTATATATCATCAACGAATGGATAAGCAAGGAATTCACACCGGAAAAACAAAAATAATGATCGTAGACAGCAAATGAATCTACCGTATATACGCTAAGCAGCTAATTTTGATGTAGTAGAGAGATTTATACACTTGGGCTGCATGATAACCAAGCGTAGACTAGGAATGGCCCGAACCGCATTATTTATCCTGTTGCTTATAAGCCTGTGGCTTATTTTTCCTATTGATACGTACGCGGCTGAAACATGGCACTAAAAAAAATAATGGAAGTAACATCATAGCTTCCGAAATATGTCAAACCAACCTGTCAATTCTGGTAGAGCTTAACCTTTTGAGTCATGTTGACTATAATTGTACCCACTAATTTGAATGCATATATAATTCTACAAGAATAAGTAACTTAAATCAGCTTAAAGAAATTTACATTCTGTAAGTATTATACTTCTGCGTTTTGTACCCAGATGGCGCATGGATGGTTTTTTTTCTAAAAGAAAATTAATGCCAGAATCAATATAGTGGCAATTGCATACCACAAATACCAATTGCAGAGGGTCCTTGGAGATGATGTATCCATGTGTAAATTTTGTATGGCCTAGCCGCAGTCTGTTAATAATTACTTGGTTATGTCTTTGAGCTGGGAGCGATAATAAAGCAGAAGTAACATCTGGTTTGATAAATTTTAATTTTGCTTGTGTTTGGTTCCATTTTACTTGCCAGGTTTTGTTAATGTAAGTTTTTATTAATGTTTTTTGGTCTGAGATTGGTATGTTTTGCATAATAGGAATTGTCATGTCATTAATAGTTTCTGTTGCTGCTTTATCAGCTGCCTTATTACCCTTTATTCCAACATGGGATGGTACCCATAAAAATGTAATGTTTTTACCACGTGTTTGGGCAATGTATAGCATGTCTTTTATTAGTGCTAAATTGGCATGAGTGAGGTACATCTGCTTGACACCATTTAAGGCACTCAAAGAATATGATATAATGAGAAAATTTATATCATTGCTGGTACATTGGTTCAGTGCGTTGAAGATTGCTTGTAGTTCTCCAGTATATATGCTACACTCCTTGGCTAGACAGGTAACAGAGGTGTTGTTTTCAAAAATAGCTGCAGCAGCTACACCATTGCTGCTTTTAGAGGCATCAGTAAAAATTAGTTTGAAATCAGGATATCTGGAGATGGTAGACTGGAATCGTTGTTTTATTTCAGAAGGATTGTGTGATTGTTTGGGATAGTTAGGTAAGGTAAAATCTACTTTTAGTATTTGAACTTTCCAGGGAGGATACTGGCATCTATTTGTAGAAGTGGCTCTCAATTGATGTATATCGAATTCGAATCGATTTATTCGTTCATTGAAAGGTAAGTTTCTAGGGCAATAATTTGAGTACAGATTTGGAGGGTTGCTCCTTATTAGACTTGTTATAAACGGGTTTTCATTTGCACTGAGATATTTAGTAGCACAACACATCGAAAAATATTGTCTTCTGAGAGCTAGTGGCGGTTCTCCTGCTAGAACTTGAAGGCTGCTAATTGGCGTGGTTCTGAAAGCTCCGAAAACTATACGTAATGCTGTGGATTGGATGATGTCCAGTTTGTTCAATTGACTTTTAGTAGTAGTTTCGTAGCATATAAAGCTTTCTAATTAAAGCTTGATATAATCGTAGAAGAATAGTTGTGTCTGCGCCCCATTTGTGATTGGAAAGAACTTTTAGAAGATTTATTCTCTAAAGGTACCCGTAAAGTCATGAATGTGTTGCTTGTGTGAGTCCATTTCAAATAGGTAAAGAAATAATAAATAAGACTTACTCACTAATGATTGTGAGTAAGTCTTATTTATTATTTCTTTACGTACACGTTAAGGTTTGCTTTTACTGGAAGCATAAAATGGTTAGATACGTTGTTGATTGCTATTAAAAACAGCAGGGGGCTTAATACAGATCCTTGAGGGATACCATTTTCCAGTGATTTCTTAGTTGACATGACACCGTTTGTTTTAACTTTTAAACTTCTGTTTTCCAGGAAGTTTTTGGTGAAGGCTAAGAATTTGCCATCTATTTTCCAACTTTTCATTGTTTTTAAGATGTGATATGTCCACGTGGTGTCAAATGCTTTTGTGATGTCAAAGAAAATAGCTATTAATTTTTGTTTATGTATAAAAGCTTCGTGTATTTCAGATTCTACTGCTATAATATTATCTATTGTAGACCGTTCTGATCGGTACCCACTTTGGATGGATGTAAGGAGATTTTTCTTTTCTAAGTACCATTTTAATCTTTTGCTTAAAATCTTTTCCATTATTTTGCAGATGCTACAGGTAAGAGATATTGGTCGATACGAAGAAGATAAGTTTTTTTGGTTTATTGTCTTTTAAAAATGGTATTATAATTGCTTCGCGCCAGAGAGATGTTTGGGAAGTTTATTAAATCGAACTGATTTTTTAAAATAGTCTTAGGGTAAAAGGACTGTTTATTCAATTCTATGAAAAATCTAGGGAATTCTTAATATTTCTAAGATGGCTCAAAATTCTTTATTCCAAAAATTGAAGAATATTCGCTAACCATGAGGATAATATTACAAAGCAGAAAGAGTAGAATGTGAGGTTATTGTTAAAAGGACTAACGTATTTGAAAAGATTACATATATAACAAAAACGATTTACAGGAAACTCAACTAATTAGTATTACAAAAAAATATACTGTTTAAATTTAAAGAATTTATAATTTAAGGAAGGTACACATAGCATCAAGGTTAAAGTATTAACAAAGATATACATCTTAGACTCAACTCTAAATATGCTTTAAATTATTTTCCTAAGCTTCATACAACGAAAATATTATAATGACCTTAAGCTCTCTCGTAGGTTTTTTACCTTTCCTTGAATTGATGTCTTTGAATACAGTTTGTCTTCACACGAACGACTTTGTAAATTAAAACATTTGAAAATTTGAAGACCCTAGAATTGTTAAATAACTTTTTTTGTAACGTAAGATTTAAATATTTAGCTTGCTTAATGAGAGGCTTTTTGCCAATCGGTACTGGCAAGAGATCTGGCAGAAGGGTAGAGTTTTTGCCAGCTCGAACGGGTTACATAGATAGCTCACTAAACTCTTCTATAATACCTCCAGCTGTTTTTTTTGTTAAACAGAGTTTAGGGTTTGTCCTGTTAAAAATGTAACCATTACATACTCTGTATTCCACTTAATTACTTCTTGTATGGCGTAAGCATTTTAAAAGTTTAAAAAATCGTACTTTTCGTCTGTACTGTAAAGATCTTTCTACTTGTAGAAGTTACCAGCTCCATCCAATATTAAGGTACATACAGGTTCTTTTGGATTCTTTTTTTTACTATATCAAACCAAAGTCTTGGTCACACTCATTATAAGAATAAAAAAAGAGATGATCTGCTATTTGAATATAATGTTTCTGACAATGTAGAGCCAAAATTTTGACTGTAAGATGACGCTTATTTTGACCTCCACAGTTGTCGCTCAATGCAGGTATATATTTCACAGATGGAGGAAAGCTTCTGATACATTTTTAGGAGACAAAATGATATTTGACCTTCGTGTCACATAAAGAAATGGGTCATTCTGTAGGTTATGGACCCCCAAGTTATACGTCTATGGTTGTTTTAAATAATATGCTTTAGAGGTTGATACATTAGGAGTTGGCATAGTTTTTTGCATGTCGAAGATGATCGCAACTTTGCTAGCATCCTTAAGGTCTAACTCATCTTTTGCAGTTCTTACAGCTTCTGTCTTACGCAAGTGAGTCTTTTTCTGTCTGAGCTTAAGCGTTTTCTTCTGTCGAACCATAATTTATTTTTATCTGATATTTGTCACATTTATCACAAGTGTCTATACTTGGCCTTTTGAAACTATGATGAAGGGAGTATTAAGAATATTCCTGTAAAAGGTTCACTTACAGATTTTTTTTTTGTTTTTATTCCTTACAGAAATCACAATAAAGTTGTACACTATTTTCAAATTACACTCCTGAGGAAGATACTTCATATTCGTAGTTTTATTTCTAGTGTAGTGGCTTGTGTACCTAGGCAACTTATGCTCTTTTATGATTTTAATTACCCTTTCAAAATTTCTGTTCAAGGGTGATTTCTTTCTTCTTTTGTCTATGCATAACACGCCTGAGGAGACTTTTTTTGCTTTGAACTACATTTTGTAAACGTTTGTTGAAGACATCAAAAGTTTTCATTATAAACTGTTTACATACTCCAAAACCATCCAGATTATAGACACATGACACCTTTTTTTGCTAACTGATTTTTCTTTTTACAGGCTCAGCCTGTATGATGGATCGATTTAGAAATGCTGTTTAGAGATTCCAGTGCCCAATGCTCAATACTCTTTAAAAATTGAAAGTCTTTGTTCTTATGAAATATTATTGGTATATTTATTCCTACAATAATGATTTTCAAGAGATTTTAGCTTCATGCGTATTTTTTTTTGTCCACGTGAGCCTCACCTGAATTTTTTGCTATTTTAGCCTTTTTTTTCACTTATCTGGCCTCCGAATCCTGTTCTTGCCAGTCTGGCTTTGGTAGTGGAAACGCATTAGCAGGCAAATCATCTATCACTGGCTCCGTATTCCGCAAAGAAACAAAACGAACTCTTAGTTTATAATAACGTAAAACGCAGCAGTTTACATTAAAGTATTACTTTGGACCTATACCACTACCCATCCAACATGATAACAAACTCAACTAACAGTCTGACACAGTGGAACAGGGGTACAAGTGCACTTGTATCTCTTTTCTTCCAAGCCCTACTCATAGTTGGCTTGGAGGCTAAGTAACTTGCCGCTAAAAAGCAGCATCTGTTAGA